CTGTTAACTGTTGTGTATATATCACGTGATGACTAACTCTGGTTCAAACATATAGTGAACTAAGAAAAACATTTTGAAGATAAAAGTTTGTATGATGGTGAAAAGTTTTAACAAGAAACAAGCAAACTCCGTGGTTTTAGTCCGCAAGTGAACTATACAAACCGAGTGACCGCCACTTGTCGGCAAAGTTAATGCCAACTTTAGCAGATAGAGGGTGTCACGTGGTCAGTGTAACGAATCCCCACAGCCGTTAATTTCGGTTTTCTAGACCAGAGCTGCTATTTCCTTGAAACAGCTCCTCAGTTATCCTCACAAGGCTGGGTGGACCCCGTTCCAGATCCACTACTTCTCAGAAAATCTGGTAGTGCCGGGAATCGAACCCAGACCTCTGGATCTGTAGCCAGGAACTCTGACCACTAGACCACAGGGACAGTCAAAAACTTTTAACTACACAGTAAAATCAAAACTGGGATGCAACATTATAAAATTAATTTTTACTACATCTCCATGCTTAAACAATCCTTCAGAAGGATAACATTTTCAATCAGATAACACAGAAACAATTTCAGAGGCAAAGTTTAATAAAAAAATTTGAGTAAGCACAGTGACAGTTCTTTTCCCTACTCTTTCAGGCATACACACAATCAGCAATATCCTTCCATTCCAGACATCGACCAGCCTTCACTCCTTGTAGAATGGGCCCCATGCTGCTGTCATCCAGCTGCTCGCTCCCTCCTAATTGTGGTACATTTCACCTGACTTGGCCCTCTAGCGGATATGCCTCTGATAGCATGCTTCCAACACCGGCAGTCTCAGCTGTCCTCCTCTCTTGGAGGTTCAACCAATGTCCTCACCCTGCACACTCCAGCATAGAGAGGGTAGCCTTTGAACCAGACCTCGCTAGGTTATCTGCCACCTCCAAGGGGGCCTTCCAAGCCATTCCACAATGACCCTACCACACCAAGCTGGTACCAACTTAGTGTTGTCTTCCATATGGAGAGATGAACACAGTCACCCTAGGGTGTCACAATGGCACTTCTTAATCACCTAGTCATAGCACACACAGCCTTAAGCCATTGGAGGCATCATGGACATGCAAAATATCAAGCCCCAGGATGAGCTTACTGGTGATCTTGGCAATGACCACCTAAGTTTGTAGAGGGCCAGGGTCAACTATACCAATCCCTCCTTCAAGGCTGGGAGAAGTGTCTCCTGAAGCCATCTGCAGGGTGTATGTCCAGGGCAGCCCTATCTCTGGCAGTCCATCAGCGAGGTCTGGCCTAGTGACCATCATGCATACCCTGGTGTTGATGGTCACAAGGAATGATTTGTCCCCTATCCAGCCTTCAGCATTTAGGCCACTGTCACTCTTCTTTGCCAGCACACTGAGTGTGACATAAGGGGATGGGGTTGATGATACCAGAACCTTCTTCACATCCTCTATATGTTTCTTGGGCCTGGGCTGACTTCTGGGGATATTTATGTGGAGAGCCTCTTCTAGGATGGCTGACAGAATCACACCACCACTAGTGGTTCGGATGCTGCCAGTTATATTTTCAATTCCCAACATGACTTTTACCAGCGTCTTCATCTGTTGTATCTTACTGACAAGTTACTAACGGAAGCTGGGGGTCTGCTTTACAACAGATGCCACCTGTCAATCGGTTCTTCAGATTTGTTCTGGGCTTATCAGATGGCACTTACAGACTTTCATCTTTTCATACCTGGCCTCCATGCTACATTCTACAAGGCCACTTCCTAGGTGCTTCAGCCTATCCACACACAGTTGCCACCTCAGGTATAATTCCACTCCCAACATCCCACTTCTGATTCCAGTGTCATTTGGAAATGGATTTACTTGGCACTGATTCTCTTTATCAGAAAGTTTCAGTCTTCACAGACTGCCCGTGCTTGGACCTTCTCATCAGCCTTCCTTCTTCAAAGACTTTCTGTGTGCCAGTTTGCTGGCTCTATGTATACTGCCAAGGCAATGCTACCTCCTACAGCACTCTGACTTGTCATTGCTACTGATATGTCCTAAAGTGATGTTAACTTGTAACGAGTGATTCCAAAGTTCTGAAGTTTATGAATTTTAGCCAGTGTGTCACAATATTAAATATTAGAAGTCTGATTTGTTCCAAGGACACAGATCTGCATCTTTCATTATAATTAACTATACTGACCATTTCCATTGATATTCCACTTTTGTTGGTACCCATGCAAAAAAAAAAGATCTTGCAAAGAATTACCACAAGGCCTGCATGCTTATTATAGAGCCATGCAGTATTGCATTTTGGGCAAACTGTTATCCCTAACATGTCTTTATATAGGCTGTAAAAGTTATTGTCAACTTTTGATTAAATGAATGCCTTGCAAAGACATAGCCTTAACAAGTACACAAGTTTTTCTGAAATTATATGAATTGACAATAAATGTCAAATTTTAAATATTTCACGTATAATACATATGGCAACAAATCGCAAAAAGGCTAATAAAAATGTTGTGCCTACTAAAATGCATAAAAACTATATAATCTAGAAATATTTGTATATCTTCTCCCAGAGCCTTCAAAATTAACTGAAAATTAATCCAGTGGCATGTAACACTTAAATGGATGTAGTTTATCAGAACAGAGTAAGCTTGCTTAAAATGAAATCCCAAGAGACTTTAACATTTTTCCATTTCTGGCAGGTTTCTGTTAAAATATACAGACCTCTAAATAATAATTAAAAAAAAATATTGCACAGTACATACTCATGTACTTATAAACCAAACCACAAGTCAAATCATATATATATATATATATATTACATACACACTACACTACACTACACTACACTACACTATTACTGAGCAGTTTACTGTTTCATCTTTCCTCCTTTTGTTCCTGTTTTCTTCTTCTCTTTCATTTCATATTTTTCAGCAGTCCACTATAGCATTTTGCATACATGTATTTTTGTCAATATTCAGGCTTACTCCATATTTTACAGGAATATTCCCTCTTATACCAGATCAAGGAAGTAGAGTGCATCAAAATTATACAAACAGAAAGGAACAAATGTTCAATTTAATTCTTGTTCTTCATTTCCACAACCATTCAAACAGTTTTTATTTGCTGCAGGTAACTCTACATTACTTTTCATTTGACATTCCTGGGAGCAGAGACACTGTCTCATAAGGTCAGGTTTCTTTCCCTTTTGGATACATCTGACTGTAATTTTTAAAAATCTGGATCCTCTTTCCCAGAGAATGCCCTGTACCTCCATTACAAAGTTTGGGCAGTTAATGACATTAAAGACAATAAGTTATTTAGAATGACAAGTAAATAAAACCCATAATTATACCCAGGAAAAGATGCCAGTATACTTAAAGTCAAAATGGTGGTACACATAGCTACCACTACTCTTTAAAGGGTTACCACACTTTAAATTCCTGCTTCTGTAACACAACATTTGTAATTGGATAACGACAACAAGAATATTACTCTGACATCCAATTAATATAATTAATGTTCAGAAATTATATATGTAAGAAGTTAATAACTATGAGATCTGAATCATCCTTGGTATTCAATCAGAGACTCTACTGCAAATCTGGGAGAGGGAAATAACAGACTATCGCGTGCAAAAGCCAAAAGATACGAATAAAATTAAAAGAAACTGATTCCTATGTAAGGAGGCATTATCTGAAAATTACATAAATTTATTACATTTAATGTCTTGATGTTTACTGTCCTTTTATGTTTCTCTATTCATTCTGCAGTTCATTAATGATCAACTGTAAAAGTTTATAATTTACTTTAAGACATCAGTTCTTCAACATTATTTATTTCATTCGTCATTTTTTGTTTAATGCTACAGTTCTGGTATTGACATAGAATCATAAAATAACCCAGTTGCATAAAAGGCACATATTTTCTTGACTAGCTGAGAGACCATTGTGTTCTCAAGGACTCTGTTCCATTGAGTTAGTTCACAAAACAAACTTCTCTGTTCTTCGATCACCTTAACTTTATAACAAACTAGTGGTTAGATCTAAAAGTTTGTGAGAGTGGTATATTGCTACAAGTATTATGTTTTTGGACATTATCCAGCATCNAACGTCAAAGGGTTAAAAAAAACTGTACTGTTTCTTTTTCAAAACATGTTTTGGAGACTGGATTCTGTGCCCGTCCTCAGGTAAAACCTACTCAGTTGGGTCCAATAGACAGAGCTAGCCCCTACCCCCAGACATGTATGCCAGGTCCAAAAACATAATACTTTAAACTACTGGTTACATGATGTATCCTTCCAAAAGCATACAGCCTTATGAATACCGACCTTCTGCCACCAAAAGCTGCATTTATTCAGTTTATTGATCTTGGAACACTCCATCTGCCTACTGGCATGCTTTTCTTCAAAATAATTCAACAGCTTTTGATGAAATTGTATTGGAAATAGACAGCAAAAATGTTTCAGATAAATGTAATATTAGGTCAGTACAATGTCTATTTTACATGAATCCCAAATTACACTCTACACAATTTGTCATAAGTGGCTCATCATACTAGAAACGTTTGTTCATAAAAAGAAAATGAGAATAAAATCTACCATTTTATTTCAAAATATGATTCATTATGGTATATATATTCAATGAAATACAAGAAAATCTTATTTATGACTATGCACTGTTATCTTAACACATTGCAGACCGGTTGTTTAAATATTTAAATCACCCTGGAGACCAGGGTTTTTAAGCCTAGCACCCTATCTTGTGCACTGTTCACTTTAAAAATTAATATAAAATCTCCTAATTAATTGTAGGAACTAAAATTTTTGGAGAACACTTACCAGAGCTCCTAGAAGTGCTTGCACATGTGATATCTCTGGAAACTTTCATCGGAGCTCTCACTTTCACTGAACACAATATTTTGGGGGGCCCTGTGGCCCCTGTCACTGTCACTTTCACTGAGGCTGGCCTCGCTATCAGAAGACGAAGCAGTTGGCACATCAGATTGCTCATCGGAGAACAAATCTAATATTTCTTGTTCTCCGAGAGAACGCTTCGCCTGCAACTGCTTTCGTCTCTGATCCATGTTGCACTGCTAACTTCCTGGTTCATACGTGGAAGCTTGGACTCGAACACAGGCTTTTTTCTTTAGGGTGTGACAGGAAATGAGCGTGATCATGTTACTGGCTAAGCTAACAAACATAACTACGCACTAGTTATGATGCAATGTGGACACACAGGGAGATATAGTCGGTTGAAACATAACGCGTCAGAAAAGGGCCAATTGGCCCGCCTGGTCCGCAACACTATAGAAACGTAGAGGACCAATTGGCCTCTCCGGTCCTGAATGTGTTAAGCTTTGAATCAGTACATCTGTGGTTGTAACAAAAGATGTATGCAGTATGCAAAATTATGAAGGATGCACTTGGAAAATACATGTACTTCATTGGAGAATATCTTTCTCCTCATTTCTTTTAGTCTTCACTGCTTGTTGAATTTATTCAGACTAAAACTACACACTGCTCATTTAGACTTATGAATCAAAACTGTGTGTCACAAACATTTAGAGAAATACTAGAACCAGTTAAAAACATAACAAAATATCCATGTTTTTAGATTATTCATGTCTCCTTTTCCTTCCATCAGCCTAAATAATCGGAGCATTCTGTATACAGTTTGCAGTCACTGTCATTTAAAGTAAAAATGTTTCTAAGATTAGCAATAACTATAAACCATTAAAATGTGTAATTACTTCCTTCAGTTTTTATTAGTTTTTACTGTATTCTAACTGTTAAATTATAACATCATGGCAATTCTGGGCTTTGTCATAGTTAAGTATTAAACACTGCTGCTCACTGCACATTGAACCTTATGTAGCTTGCAACCCATCCTAAACAGTTTATCACTAAAAAAACATAAATTAAATAGAAATGAACAATTAATCATATATAAATGTGAATAGAAAAAAGTATACACACAGTTACACATTATATTAACCTATGTAAACGCTGTTATAAAAAATAGAAAAAAAACCAATGAAAATTTAATAAAATTTCAACAGAATGTTAGAGCCTGCAGCTCAGTGAAGTTGCAGGACAAACTGCAACACAAGGCTATTTTAATTATCACACATGGACTGAGTGCTTAGTCCTCTGCTGTAGAGCTCATTTTCAAATCTTTTTAAAAGAACCAAGCTCAAGTGTAAGGCCATCATGGGTTTGATTTTCCAGCAAGTTTCAGGTCTTTCTTGTATTCCACTTACGTAATATGCCACAACTCTGCATTATTTGTAAATTTGCTCAGCTGCTCTTTCCAGTATGAACTAAAACTACAGTAGCAAATGTATGCACACAAACAGTACTCTATAGACACTAACTGTAAGTTATATGTACAAATATGAACATCTTCACACAGGCCCTACATTATACAAATGACAGCAGATTCAAATTCCATAAAATTTGTGCAGATTCAAATTCCATAAAATTTGTATATATTCAACCAGTTCTAAATCAAGAAACAAAAGGTTTCTTTGATCCTCATAAATGAGCCATTAATTCATTCACACTTCAGTCTGGCATGTCAATCGATATTACAGGTACCACTGGTTTCAGCAACTCAGTCTTTTTAAACCTTTTATCTGGTTTCATATCTAAGGATGGAGCATCTACCATACCCTCAGGAGCACTCTGCCCCCTTCGTCCTCCTTCATCACTCTGAAGACTATAAGCTATGTTTGCATATTCTTGGAGAAATGGACAAAGACTCAGCAGAAAATGGCAGAAATCTTTGCGGATGCCAAACCACCCTGATAAGAAAATACATGCCATTAAATTAAGATTTCACATAAATGTTATATTACACTGACATGGAAAGTAAAAGCCTGTGTTTTTTAAGCTAGTAATACCTGATGTGTCACACCTGGAACTTGGTGCAAATTAACTGTAATAATGGATTAACATAATTAAAATATTTGTGTGTATGTGTCTAGGTCTATATAATAAAAACATGGATGTATATACAATTCTATGCCAGAAAGAATACAAGTTGTATGACATTACACATAGTAATGCAAATTACCCAGTCAAGTGGTTATGACGTTTATAGATGTCATGCATATTTCTAACTACTCCATTGTAGATATAAGGCCAGTCAGCAACATAAACTTCTATGTTGTTTGCAAGATGTTCTAGTTACTTCAGAATGTGACAGGAAGTTGCTGCTTGCTTGATAGCCGTCCTGGGTTCGAGTTCTTTTGACTAAACATTATGGCAGGTCCTAGCAAAAAGATGTGTGTAAGTGATAAAGTATTTTATGAACTGTTACAAGAGAAAGAAATGAATACAGTGGTATTTCAGAGTGTGAATATAGTAGTGATAGTGAAATAAATGTGAAAATTTCATCAGACTGTGAACAAAGTGTCACCTCTGTTGAAACAGAAAATGTCAACAACAGTAGCATGTAACCTGATGCATGGGAAAATTTAGGTGCTGAGCGACCATGTTTTCCGTTTAGTGTGAAGCCTGGCATAAATGTTGATTCAGACCCCAGTAACCCCCTGGAATATTTTGAGTTGTTCTGTACACCAAACACTGTGGAAGTTATAGTCAGAGAAGCAAATCAGTATGCCCAAAAATTTTTAGAAAACACGCCTAATCTAAAACTAAAATCTAGGACCTATCGCTGGGCTGGTATTGAAAACTACGTAATTATAAAGTATTCACAGTATCTGCCACTTGAGTTGCAGCAATGTTTCCGGTGGTTAGTGATGATTTCATAGTGTGTAAAAGATAACGAATTTCCAGTGGATGTTTGGATGAACAGTTCATTCATCAATACTAGCCTTGAGCTTGCCCACATGACAATAAGAAACTTCATTTATCAACAGGCTTCCACACTGTCACAATAAGCAAAGCTGGGAGTGTGTGTTTTCACTAGAGAGATTTGACAGTAAACTACTATGACAGTGTTTATTTAGTAATTTCTAAAAACCCCACGCCTGTCAAGATCGTATATACTGAATGTGCATGAATCAAGCATAAGTATGAGATTAGTAGTCTCAACCGAAATGATAGTCAGTGGTGACAATGGTGGATTTTTTGAGAATAAACCAAAAATACAGAATTTTACTAATATATATATATATAAACTTTCATATAATGGCTATAGAAATGAAAATATAGGTTTGTGAAGTCTGATAATTTGTCTTCCGAGGCTTTTTGTTCCATAATTTTATAATGACATGGGCATGCAGTAACGTAGTTGGTTGAGGCACAATGCTACAAGCTGGAAGGACATGGGTTCTATTCCCGATGAGGTCACTGGAATTTTTCAATTTACGTAATACTTAGCCAGGATAGTGTAGTAGTGTAGTCAATATAGCGACTGGCTATGGGCTGGACGACTGATGGGTCAAAGTTTGAGTCCCAGTAAGGTCAAGAATTCCCTGGGGTCCACCCAACCTCCTATCCAATAAGTACGAGGAGCTCTTTCCCCTTGTCTCAAGGGAAAAACTTGGTAAATCTAAACACAGACAACAGTGTTGTACCAAAGAACTCTACTGCATTTGGAACAGTAATGGAAAAACTAGAATATCCTCTGCATTTGGAAAGTTACTCAGGGAACTAAGCATGCTCCAAGTGAGTGGACATAGCCTGGTGTGATAAACTCCTAGCAGCTTAACCAAGATCATACCTCTACACTCTTCATAATAAATAAACTGTTCCATACTTACACCTGTTCCCACCTTTAGCACCAAAAGACATAAGGATGAGAGTGCAATAAGATATAAACAACGGTGAAACCACACCGACATAACTTAGAGAGATGTCCTCATCCAGTTTATTGGCTAGCAGTACCTTGAACAAAATAACAAAATTTTTATTATACCAAAGCGAATTATGCCAATGCCACTTTAAAATGTGTTGCAGTATAAGACTGTATTACATACCTGAAAAATTAGTATGGGTATGACAAGAAAAGTGTATCCAAGTGCACTATTGAATGAAGTTCGTCTCTGTTGTGGATTCACTTCAGGGGCTCGTAATAAAATCCCAGCGAAGATGATAGTGTACAGAACTCCCACTAGGGAAAGACACATAAGAATCCACAGAGGAACAAATACCACCTCCCAACTCCATGAGATAAATCCATCAAGTCGTAAGGCCAGAAAGATGAACTGGAGAATGTTCACTGAGCAGAATAACTCCAGCTTTAAAGACAAAAACCAAAGAACAAACACTCACTAAACAAGTTTTAATCTTGTTTATTTTATATATCTCACCTCACTGGCATCATTCATGCAACAGTATTACACAATCCAGCCCTCTTCCAAAATGAGTAAGCCCAAAAATTATATTTAAGCACCACAAAATCAGAGGATATATGTAAATAAATGTGGTACATTGTGCATTCTACAATTAAATGAGTTTGTTCTTTTTCTTTTTGGTGAGTTATTTCACAACACTGTCACTATCTAACATGTAGCATCAATTTTTTTTTTTCCCCCCTTGGCACTACAGCCCCAGTGGGCCTAGGCCTATCTCCATGAACTTCTCCGTTCACTTCGGTTTTTCTAAATCTTACATGTTTAGTAGGACTCCTTGGCTGGGTGACCAGCTCGTCGCAAGGCCTCTACCTGTACACAAACACAGAAAAACACACACAAACTAAACATCCGTGCCCTGAGTGGGATTCGAACCCACGATCCCGGTTTCCAAGCGAGCGAAGACAGTACATGCCTTAGACCGCTCAGCTACCGTGACCGGCTGCAGTATCAAATGATAAGATGATTGGTGAATGATGAATTACAAAGGATTTAAAAGGAAGTGGTCATTGCCTTATTAAGGTACTATCCTAGCATTTACTTGGAGGGACTGAGGAAAAACACAAAAATCCTCAGTGAAGATAGCTGGTGTCCCAGGTCAGATTAAAAATGAGCACCTCCAAAATATGGAGTCTATAGCTTTACCATTATGACAACCCACATGCTATGAATTTATCAATTGATACTCCCCAAAAGAGCAACTTGGAACTGAGACATCAGTTACTACAAATCCCAATAATCATGAACTTATATACATTAAAATGAACATATATAAGATATTCTGTAGTAATAATACATACCTCAAATGAACGGTCATGTTTAACTGCCCAAATACAAACAGCAATTGACACTATTGAAATAAATATCAAGGGAATAAATACGAGGATCCAAAGATGTCTGCCAGATTCCAATTTGTCACAAACTAAGAGCTCAAACATAAGCAGAATAAGATGAAGAGCTAAACTTATGAGCATTGCTTTGTAATGAACATATGCTTCACCTTCGAGCCTGTAACAACAGCACAATCAAGATTATGAATAATGTGAATTTTGATATTAACTTAAAATCTGTAGAAAAATGTAAGACATAATTACTAACCTAAAATGTGGGTATCTCCACCATACATAACTTCCTACTGTAGCACCAGTAATAACCATAAACTTCCAAAACCAAATTGGTATAAAAACTGTCCAATAACTCCACTGGACAGTGCCATCCAAACGAAGGGCAAACAAAGCAGTAAAAATCATCAAACACACATGTACTAGGAACTTGCTGAAACAGATATTACGAAAACATAAGTTGTGAATTGTATTTAGACCATATAATGTCATAATATATACAATATAAATTTGTTTGTAACATCATGTTACTGCAAGAAGTTCAGCATTTTGTTCCTTGCAAACGGTATAGGGTTTACTGACAGCAAAGTTAAATCGAAGAATTTGAAATGGTGTAGTGTGCGAGAGCCGTTTCTCATTTTATAAGATAAAGGTCAAGGGAGGTTTAGAATAATAAGGAACCGAGCAAGCTTCTGACAAAGGGAAAAATTTGCTGCCTGCAACGAACCTTGGATTAAAATCCTGAAATAATGTCTGCAGGTTCATCTTTACAGTCCCTGGTACTCAGAGATGAACCTAGATATTATTAAGCAATTTACTGTATCATAACTGTAATAAAAACTGTATGTATTAAAATAACGTAAACAAACACCACTCTTTTTAATTATTTTTCCCTATCAGCTGGTTCATGCTGCTGTATTACAAAGTCGATAACTATCGATTAATTTCTCTTTAATAGCTTGTGTCCGTGTAGTGCTTTGTTAATTTACTTTAATATCTAGAAACGTTCAAAATTAAAATTTATATTAAAGCTTTTTAAACATTTAGAGAATATCTAATTTTGCTTCATCCATGAACGACTTACGAATTTAAGTCGAAAATATCGATAGGTAATGGGAAACATCCTTTTCCGGATTGACCTGGCTCGTTCGTTTATGTCACTGACTAATCATGGCCGTTGGTAAAAATAAGGGTTTGTCTAAAGGAGGAAAGAAGGGTGTAAAAAAGAAGATGTGAGTAAAATAACAGAAACAGATTATTTTATATATTCTTATAGTTTCATTCGTTAGCATAAAGTTTATTTCCTTTTATAGATGTGCATGATGAAGTAAGATCTTGTACGTGGGGTTTAGGACCTCGTCCGCATGTTAGGCTAGAAGCATGTTGCTTCAACTGATTTATCAGGTTTAGAGTTTATGGCCAAACGTTTACAAATGAGTCGAATAGTTAAGTGTGTAGTTATTATTTGTTGGACTATGTGGTTATCGTAAAGACCAAAGATTTGACCACATCTTGTTGAGAAAAGGAACTCTGGTATCCCGTAAGATATTTATGTAATTTTATTTTATTTTTAGCGTCGATCCATTCACAAGAAAAGATTGGTACGATGTGAAGGCACCGTCAATGTTCGCTACCCGGCAGATCGGTAAAACTCTTGTGAACCGTACACAAGGAACAAGTAAGTTTTTATGTTTAAGGTATTGCCATGTTGTAATGATTTGAGTGAAGTAATTTGTACCCCAGCAGGTGTCATAGTTGTACTGCTGAAGTTCAGATATTGTGACACGATGGTGACTATACACAGGTTTCTGGTTAGTAGTGCAATTTAATGGACACCAAATCATCTTATTTACAAATCATTACACAGTTCACAAGTATTCACTGTCGTTTCATAATTCGTTATTTCAGTCTTGGCTGCATGCTCTTATGTCGTAGGCACATTGTTGAGCTCCAGGCAGGGACTCCATTGTTAGCTTTCACGATCTCTGTGCTTTGTCTCGTTTCCTCCAAATTGACAAGAAATCATCACCCGCTCCCAGTGAATGCATCTGCAACTTTTTTACTCAGGATTCTGGTTTATAGGTGTCATGACAATGTATTGTTCTCATATTTAAATGCATTTTTATACCGCCATCTTTGATTCAATTGTCTAGATAATGTGGGACCCTCAACGTCTCACAACCCTATGGGCCTTCACGGCCTGTTACAGGGATAGCTTTACTTACTTTTATATATGAATTTCATTGTTAATTTTTTCCTTAATTAGGATTGTTAACCTTTAATGTCTGAAGTGCACCAGTCGGTACAGTGATAAACATGGTTGAAGTGGCCGAAGTACACCGATTTGTGTAGTCAGACATATACGAGTAAACTCCAGTAGCGGAAGCTTGAGCGCACTCTGATGGTAGAAGCTAACGCCCAGTGCTTTATATTTATTTTTAAATATAGTAAAATTCAGTGTGAATACCATTTTTTAATTATCTGTTTGATGTGTATACAGGGTTCACCCCTCCCACCACATCATGTAACTGAATCTCGCCTTTGTAAGGTACCTCCTGAAGCACCCAAAAATGCATAGTCCCATGTCACATATCTTTAACTTCTGTTGCATTTCAATTTCATCATCTTCCAAACAATATATCCATGCAATTTTATGATGACATGAAACTACAATATTCGAACTCACCGTGAATTCAAAGAACACTGATTGCAATCTGTGCTACAATGCATGTGTTTATGACTTTAGAAAGGGCAATATTCTATATCCAATGCAGTGGGAGGGCTTTGCACTGAAGAATGGAATAAAGACCCTGTAATCTTCCTTGAACTGCAATGTTTTCACTTTTCTGTCCTTTAGTCAAAAGACTGAAGAGAGCAACAAAGATGGGAAATTTCCAGCAGAGAACGGAATGATTTTATTGCTTCCAGCTGGTGTATGGCACCAGAGAATGCAAAAATATTTCAAGTGCCAGAAGCAGGAATGATTTTATAATGCAGAACTGCTCTATGAAGAAGCAGGGAACAGTTTTTACAGTATGCATCAAAATTACAAGAAAAATTTTAAAATAGAGTATAACTTCTTTGTCTAAATATTTTCAAATCTTACATTGCACTATGTGGCACCATGTTCTTTGCTGAAAAACAGAGTTAATTCCATTTATCATACAAATTGTATTAGATACAACATTTTTAAATAGAATATAAGGGTCCTAGCAGGAATTTACATTTAAATGCAGAGCAGCAGCGGTCATTTAAATAAACTCGGCCAACTCAAGCTAACACAGTGTTAAAAAAACTGGTGTTTAAAGGTGAATGTAGACGGAATACATTGTGCTGTCATGGTTACCAGTAGTGATGATTTTCTATCAGCCATATACAGAGTCTTTTGAACTGGAACTTGAAAGATTTTGAGTAGCATTATGACATTAAGGCCAAAGGCTGGAATAATGGAGCCAGAAGAGTGAGTCGTTCCTAGGCAACAGCATGCTAAACACACACAACAGTAGAGTAACTGTTGAAAATGGTGTTTTTATGTGGTCTTAATTGGGGTTATATACTGAGGACAAATGAGTAGAGCTAGTCATTATACAGGGTATACATAAAAGAATGGTGCGGTTTCAAAAGTTAATAATAAAACTTATTTCTCACCTTACGTGGGCACAACATACACCGTCAGTGGCAGCAACTGTCCAAGTTTCTCATGCGCTGCCAGCAGTTCGCTTCTCATGCTTGCCGTGTGGCCGCAGGTCCAGTTTCAGCGATGGCGTTGCAGCAGGAGGAGGCTTTCTGTTGCTCCGTTTTGAGGTGTCCAGATCTGTGATTACAGTGCAGCATGAGTTTTGTGCACAGTTTCAAAGAGACTTGTCACATAAGAATAACATAAGCAGGTGGTACCGACAGTTTGTAGAAACTGGATGCTTATATAAAGGCAAAAGTCCAGGTTGACCTTGTTTGTCTGATTACAACATTGAAAGAATGTGTGAGGCATTTCAGCGAAGTCCCCGCAAGTCAGCAGGTAGAGGAAACAGAATTTGGCATGGCAAAAATGACGGTGTGGAAGGTGTTGCATAAGCGGCTATGCTTTAAACTGTACAAGATGCGATTGGTGCAGGCACTTAAACCAACAGACAAAGCGAAAAGGCGTGACTTTTGCGAGGAGATGCAGTTGAAAATGGAGGAAGATGGGTTCGTAGAAAGACTGATCTTCTCCGATGAAGCCACATTCCACATCAGCGGCAAAGTGAACAGACCCAATGTCCGTATCTGGGGAACTGAGCAACCCACATGCACCAATAGAGCACCAGAGTGACTCTCCAAAAGTAAAAGTTTTCTGTGCGGTGTGTCCTGCGAGATAGTGCATGGCCCATTCTTCGCTGAAGCAACTGTGGCTGGTGACTCATTTTTGGACATGCTGGAAAGCTGGTTGTTGCCGCAGTTGAATACCAATCATGACAATTACATTCTACAACTGGATGGAGCTCCCCCCCCCATTTTCACAGGAATGTATGAGTGTTTCTCAATCGTGTTCTTCCACAGCGCTGGAGCGGACATGCTGCTGCAAATGGAGACAACCTTCTCCCTTGGCCACCCTGTTTGCCAGATCTTACACCATGCGATTTCTTTGTTTGGGGGTTCATTAAAGACAACGCTTAGCCACCACCATTGCTCACATCCATCCGTAAACTTTGTGATCGGATAACGCATATACTGCAGGCCATTACAGCGTACATGGTACACCGGGTCTGGGCTGAGTTTCATTACTGTGTGGATGTGTCTCGTGTGACCCAGGGTGCACACATTGAAGGTTTGTAATTAACACATGATAAAGTTGGACAGTTGGTGCCACTGAAGGTGTATGTAATGCCCATGTAAGTTGGGAAATAAATTTCTTATTAACCTTTGAAACCGCACCATTCTTTTGTGTATAGCCTGTATACACGTATAGCCAAGCTTTGTGGAGGCAGGGTCGAATAACCTCCACCATGACCCTGTGAGTTGTAGGTGACAAAAAGGGAACCCAGTTCCTGGGGGTACAACCAGGGGATATAAATATGGGGACCCTGCCCTCCAGGTTGAGGGAGTCTCAAATCAGACAGTAAAATGTGGTAATTAGTCCCGTGCGACTAGGACATGAGAATGACTGTGCTGGCAAGGACCAGCAGCAATTGTAAATGACAGACCTATCCTCTCATTAGAGAGGATGTTACATAACTATAACTGCAAGTGTTCGGTTGGAAAATAAAATTGCTAGTTGTGAGTCTCAAGGGACTTGTCACCAAGACAAAGTAATTAGCGTTAAACCGCCAGTCATAAAGTGACTCAGACTCTGACAGAGCTAGTCATGGCTTGGAAGCCATTAGTTGCAAGTTTGTCAGTCAATTTTCAACCATTAAGGACATAAGCACAGAAGTTGAATACGCATTGTCAGGAGGAAAATGTGTTTCTGTTTAAAGGCCAATTCTGAACTTATTGAGTATGCCCTCATAGCCAACTTCTATTAAATTAATCCACTTATGGATTCAGGGATCCAGAAATGCAATCTGCTTAAAATCTGTTTGACCAAAGTCTCGCAGTATACTGCACCCAGATATGTTTATATTCTCCACCAGTCTTTTCCTCAGTTCTTTGTTGTGACGGTGGGAGGTATAGCCAGAGCTCTGTTTGGGTACATGCTAAATGGTTTCAAATAAAGAGACTGTATTATAGAACTTGTTTTATTACATATATTTAAATAATTATTAACGTTTGCTTTATAGAGATTGCATCTGAGGGCCTGAAATACAGAGTATTTGAAGTGTCTTTGGCCGACTTGCAAAATGACAACGATGCTGAACGTTCATTCCGTAAGTTTCGCCTGATTGCTGAAGATGTGCAGGGCAGGAATGTGCTCACAAATTTCCATGGCATGGACCTGACCAC